TATCTAGTTGATAACTATCATACCTTCACTAATCTGAAAATATCGCCATTAATACGTTAATGGACATCCATTCACACCACTTGCATTTGTTCAGCCGTCACTCAAAAATGATCTTTAAAAAATCTGAGAAATGCAAGAGGATTGTCTATTTAATAACTGATAATGTTGAAAGATTAACTAGCAGAGATTTACCTGTACACTGTTTGTGCTCATAGCTATCATCAATTCCAGCTGTATGCAATCGGCACAGGAAGTATAAATCCTGCTTCCTGTTCTATTGCATGGCATAACTTCCAGGTAGAAGACAGTTTTAGTTAGTTACTATCCCAGCTAATTTTCATTTTCTGCAATATTGTACTATATATTCATTAAAAAATAAGTGAGTAGGAAATAGATTTTATAATTAACTGTGGTAAAAGAATCTCCAGAGCTGATCAGAAAACAGTGCACTTAAAATACACCAATCACAGCAACACACATTTACCAAACAAATAATAATAATCTTTGCATTTGATATAGGGCCTTATCACATCTTCTAGACATCTCAAAGCGCTTCACAGAATATACTGTAAAGTGAATTAATTGTATGTTAAGGGTGTAACTCCACATAAAATAGGATTAATTTTTAAGTTGCATAAGAAAAAAAGATGCTTCACAGCCAATGTTTGTCAAATGTATTAAAGAAAGTATATCTTGGAGTATATCGTGGAGTCCTGTAGCTCAGTGGTTAGAGCACTCGCTTTGCAAGTGAGAGACCTGAGTTCAATTCCAGGCAGGGCGAAACCTTGGGCAAGTTTCCTTACTCCACACGCCTAATAATAATCCCTCCAAAACCAAAAACAATAATTAAATTGGTCATTTTCAATCTACGACTGTTTGTGGGACATTGCTGTGCGCAATTGGCTGCCGCGTTCGCCCACAAATATACAGTCAATTCACTTTACAGTGTGTTCTGTGAAGCGCTTTGGGACGTCCTCCTGACGTGAAAAGCGCTATATCAAATGCAAGGATTATTATTATTATTATTATCTTCCCACAGGTGGCAATCAATCGCTGGAATGGGTTAACAAGAAGGCTGGTTGAGGTACGGACACTGGACTTATTTTAAGGAACAGTTTGATACTGTGATGCAAAGACAGTAGAGTGCATATTCTGGAATAAGAAGATCAAGTGGCCTGAAGGGCCTTCTTCATCCAAACCTATTGTGTGATTTATTTTATTGCGGCATTATTTTAATCAAACACCGCAACTTTGCTTCAGTCTTGTATTCAACGCTAATATGCCTCTGGGATTTACAGAATTTGCTAGTTGTTCCATCAGGATACTGTATGATGTTTCTCCCCATCGTCATACGTAAAGAATATAGTTCAAGAGATTCTGGCTTCAAAAATTTATGCAAGATTCCGAAACATAATCCTGCACCTTTTTTGAAAGAACATTCCCCCAACGCACAGCATGAAAAATGTAGATATTGCTTACCATTCACTATCATGTAGAACACCCAAGGTCAGATTTTACGAAGATTTTGAAATAATCAAACTCCCTCAACGATGGTAAGCAGATTAGAGAAACATATGAATAATTAACATGCAGAAGATGGATGGACACCTGAAACATTGATAATTTAAAGTCGTGGATTTTTTTTTCAAAGGAAGAATTTGATTCCTCTACAGAAAGGAATAGAAATTGAGCAGTCAGTACACATTCCACAGCAGCAGGCAGAAGTGAGTTGCACACATGCCATCTGCAGTAACCAACCACTTATGACCAGACTGAGATTCACCATGTATACTGTACTCTTTGTGTCCACTTTCTAAGCCGTGTTCAAGGCAGAATAGAACATTTTAAAACACAAAACCAGGGGCATTACTTAGTTGTCATAAAGGGGGAAAGGAATCCTCATTATATCAGGCATTTTATTGATGCAACACACACACACAAAACACAAACATACATACACAAAATATACACAAATATCTGCACACAAAAAAAACACATATGCGCATACACACATTGAATACACTTAAAACGCACACGCACCCAAAACACACTGTACATAAAAAATTGTACCTAACTTCAAAGATAGAAGATGCAATGTGTTAATGAACCTTTCTAAAACAGGCATCATGAAATATGTATACTCTTATAATTTCTATCCTTCTGGCTGTCTTTTTCATTAAAATACTATCTTCACATATTTTATTGCAACTGTTCGATATTTTAAGCATGGCAATATTTCTTGAAAAAACACGATTATCTGCGGACGTACCATGACCTCATTATTAACCATAAAGGAGGATGTTCTAGCTTTTGGAAGGCTTGGCGGGCAGTGCAAGAAGCGGCTGTTGGTCTTGACTTTTTTGCTTTGTGTCTTTTTATATGTTCGTTTTATTTCATATTTACAAAAAACACTATGCATCGTGTCCTCTCTACACTACCTCCTTCCAAGGTTGAAGAGTCGAATCTATTTTTTAGCATTCATCCCTCTAACATTGGGGATCACCCCATTGGTCTCTCCTGCTCTGTGCCTGGACTGGTCCCTTATGATACGGTAACCAGAACTATATGAAATAGTCCAGATTCAGTCTGACCACAGGATTGTACAGCCTCAACATGGATTCTGGATCTGAATCAATTTGGCAACATTGCTCTGACCCTATTTGCCCTGTTTACTGCTGTCTCACCCTATTTTCACATTAGTGAATGATGATTCGCCAAAAGACCCCTAGGGTTCTTTCATCGACCACGTTAGCAAGTTTCATCCTGACCATGAAGTGCACGTGCCTCCAATTTTTACTGCCTATAGATGAAAACCATGCAAAAGCTTTATGTTGACTGCCCAGGAGCAATTGGATTCTTGCACTCAAATCACCTAATCGTCGATTTCACACCCTCCCTCAGTATAGTGAGTTTCTAAGGATTCAATCATAGATTGTCAACATAGATTTCTGCTTTCATCTGTGGACCTTGCAGCCTGTTCCCATCCCTGGACATCTCTCTTCATTCAAATATTGATTATATATAATATATTGCCTTTTTTTGGTGTATGATACACTCTTATATAATTTCTCAATATAATTAATGACTGATTTACACAATTCTAGTCTCAGAACTGAACTGTTCTCCCCATCTTTGTTGTTGCATTGACTATTACATTTAGAAAATAATAAAATGAACAGTTTAATAAAACAAGAATCACAACTCATGTCACTGCTCTAATTATCGGAGTTTCTTATGAACTGAACCCATTATTCAAATTGGAAAACACATTTAGTTTGAAAAGGATTCATTGCAACGTTGCAACAAGTGTGAAAAACAACCTGAACCATTTGGATCTGGATATGTCCTGCATGATGGATATGTCCGCTTGATGAACATAAGACTCAATACTCTAGTCTAACAAAGGAATTTCTTTCATCTTCAATAATGCATGCATGATGAAGCAGCATAGGTTAGTTTAAGATGCAGTGGATACTCTCCTTCATATTAAGCTGCAGTCAAGAATCATTCACTTATTACTGCAGTCATTTTATCATGTCACTTCTAAATTTGACCATTATCGTGTAGTTTGTCTCTCAGCTCCCTGCATGACACAAATCATGCTTTGATAGTCCTAATCTATTGAGAGCTGTGGAAATCATTAAACCAAAAAGGCCTCTACTTGTAGCATTTCTATAGGGCTCTTCTTCTAAGGTTCTGCAGTCGAACAATCTGTGTAACCAATGTGACTCATGTCAGAGCAATATAAATGTTTTTGAAAGCTCCAACTCAAAAGATTATACAGTATTTGATAATGATGTGAAAGAAGAAATTCAAGTAACAGCAGACAGAAAACTGGGAACGCAGTTCTACTGCTGAATACAGCCCAGGTTATTGTGCCTCTTTAAATTCAAAGTGCTGGAGTTGTACCTTCTAGCATAAATGCAATTAGAAACTGTGACACTTGCTTGCAAGGGGAAAAAATAAGGCATTTGAGAATAGCATAGCACTGGGTTGCATCCTAGGTTGGCAATGGAGAAGACTAAAATAGCCATTAGTTACCATTAAATACTTCAAATTGAAAAAATCCTGAGCATTTGCAATGTAACATGCAAATATGAAGTCTGCAGAATGCAATTTGTGCAATATACATTTGTCAGAAGGTTTCTGACACATAAGTTAAAGGTCTATCACTAGTAAATGAGAAATATTCAGCGATTCGTCTGACAGCATTTTCTGAAAATATTTTAAAACATTTTTTGCTATTAAATTCAAATATAATCAATTGGACCCATTCAGTAGTGCTATATTTCAGTATGCTGAACAATTTACTGTGAAGCCTTTTCATCCTGATTTCACCTCCAGCTGGATCAGACCCCAGCTTTGGCTAACATTTTTGCACCATGTTCTGAAAGGCCCTGTGGATCATTCCCTCCAATTGACAGGTAGTAATAATTAACAAAAATAATAATGATATTATTGCCTTGCATTTGATATAGGGCCCTATCACACCATTTAGACCCCTCAAAGCGCTTCACAGAATATACTGTAAAATGAATTAACTGTGTATTTTGTGGGCTAAATGTGACAGCCGATTGTACACAGCAGTGTCCCACAAACAGGCGCGGATTGATTGACCACGTTATTATTATTAGGATTATTATCTCTGGAAAGCAATCTGTCAATCGACTTACAACCGGGTTCCTACTTACTGCTAGATAAACAGCAGCATGTGGAATAAGGCAACTTGCCTAAGGTTTCGCCACGTCCAGGAATCAAACCTAGGTTTTCTCGCTTAGAAAGGCAAGAACGCTAATCACTATGCTACAGGACTCCACAAGTGCTTTGTGCGCGGTTATTGCCAAAATTTAGTGCTGCATCTTCCCCACTGCCAGCAACAAGAACTACACATGTCCTTATGGGCCAGAGAGGATTGCAAAAATTGTCAATGTGGAAACTCCAAAATTGTTATCCAGAAAGATTGAATGCTGGAGCATGACCAGAGTATATGCAGAACATACCTTTTGAATCATAGTCTGTCAACATTGCTCTGCCAGGGAAAGTTGATACTTGAGGAATCTGTGGTACAAGGTGCTGTAAATGTAATGATGCGCCATTCTGAGTGGAGTGTGCAGCATATCAAAGTGCTCGTCTCCACTAGAGGGTGGAAAAGAATGTTGAGTGAAGTCCTACAAAAGGTCACAACTTTGAATCTAATCAAATTAAATGGCCCAGATACAAAATTAACAGTAAACTGCTCAAATATGTTGGTAACACAAAGAGACAGCAGTAAAAATAGAACATACAGCAAAAGGATTCAGAAATAAATACATTTCACCCACAAAATACAATCCACTTTACGGTTTATCCTGTGAAGAGCTGAGTCGTCTTGACGACGTGATAAGGTATTATATCAAATGCAAGAATTATTATTATAACAATAAAAGTTGCCAGATACAAGGCAAAATCACTTTTTTTAAAAAAAAACAAGTTCCCCTTATACTTTGTTCCTTTTTTTCCCTCCCCCTTTCGCACTCCCATTGATCAAGGGAAAGCCATTGATCTATTTCAAGCCTTCGTCAATCATGCTCTCTAAAATCTGCAAAGTTTAGAACCTGATACATGATTAATCTCTCACCTCTAGCTTTTGTCATAACCTTTCCTGTCTTTTTCTGTTTTATCCACAATATGTTACCACTCTTGTTCTACCCAAGCTCCAAAACATCATCCTACAAGTTGTTCTCCCTCTCTATTTTGAAATCATTCTCAATCTGTTGAAATCAAAAATCATTGCACTGCATCCTATTCAAACTCAATTCTTTCCCAGAACCTTATACCTATGGAATCCTCGTCTCCAACAGTCTTCTCTTTCACCTACAATTTAGGGTTTTAAAATCCAAGAATTGTAATAATCCTTACATTTGGTATCAAGCCTTTCACATTGGGATGACATCCCAAAGCACATCATAGGATATACTGTAAAGTGGACAATGACTGTGTTTTGTGGGCAAACAGGGCAGCCATTTTTCCAAACAGCAATGTCGCACAAAAACAACCATTCAGAAGCAAACAGGACTCTGGGAGACACTATTCTCTTTTCAAATAGTACTATTGGATCATTAACATTCACCTGAACAGGTCCAAGGACCTCGATTCAACATTTCATCCGAAGGACGGGACCTCCGCCAACGGAGCACATCCCCAGCACTATAATGGAGTGAGACGATGTGAGTTCCAAGTCCCAATGTGGAGCTTGAAGCCATAATGTTCAAACTCAAAGGTGAGATTGCTACCAACTAACCCAGACTGACACAGTTGATGAATAATTTCATTTAACCATGACTTCCTAATTTAGCTCATCGTATCTCGTACCTTTATTGCTGCACTGTGGCTTTCACCTTGGTTATTGAATTGAAAATGTAGTTATTAAAGAATACATAAGAATTATTCAATTTGGTTTGTTCTAATTAGCCCTCCATTTCTATGGTGAGATGCATCAGGCTGAGATTGGCAATTCATTGAGTATAGAACAAGAGAGAACTGGGTATCGATATAGGCAACGGGTAGCTAAATGGGACTGAAAGGATTGCTGCTAACAGAGTCAGTACTGACAATGCGCTGAATGGCTTTCTTCTGTGCTATAAATTTCTATGGTTATAACTTGTGAATTACCACTATTTTATGTACTCTACGCCACTGGGACAGACTTTATTTTTAATACTAAATAAAATGGTTATTTTCTAGAAACTATTTAACAATAAATGTGAAAATTATTTGCAACGAAATACCTTTAGTCGAAGTTCATCAGCATAGTTAATTTAGGCATGGATTATTCTGAATTGTATTCAAGTTATTGAAATCTGTTAAGGCTTTCCTAAGGAGCATTCCAAAGGCAGCCAAGTCCCAGTTTGCACACAGCAATGTCCCACCAACAGCCATGGTGTGAATAACCAATTTTATTTGGGGAATTTTGGCCAGGACACTGCGAGAAACTCCATTCTTTTTTCCAAGAGTGCCATGGGATCTGCTAATTATTCGATTAGCGCTCCTTAACACACTGCTAATAGTATAATTAAGAACTTTATAATTAGAGTAAGCCAGAAAAGCACTTTTAAAATTAAGTTACGATACTTCAGAATTCGATTTTTACAGATATAAAAGTGCTCCATCCATAAATATTTTCATAACATTTGGATTAATTTGAAGTAATTTACTCTGTTTTTTTCCTAGACCATAAACGTTGTGAAAAATCTATTTAAAAGCATTATATTCATTAAAAGCAATACTTTTTTAAAAAGTTTACAGGATTTTTTTAATCCAATATCATAATAAGGAAGTTCAATTTTATGATTGTCATCCACCTCAGTGGGGCAAATTTACTCCAAAACACACCATGGTGAATAAGGTGGGGAGAGGGGGAAAGGCTTAGAACCATAGAAATGGACAGCATAGAAATAAGCCATTTGGCTTGGCATTGCTGTGCCTAGCTCTCTGAAAGAGCAATCAATTCAATCCCGTTCTCTGTATTTCCCCCCATATCGTATTATAATTCTCCTTTTTATTGCAAATGTAAAAACGACCACTTTCTAACTTGATTCAAGTGGGTCTAGCAACTGGTTTGGTTAACTCAGCAGTTAGATAACCATACTCAACACTCAGTCCAATCTTGGTATTATTTAGACAAATATAAATTATTATTACACTAACAATTCTGTCGCAACCCGGAATCTGAGGCTCACTTAGGAGGCCTGAGTCTCAAGTGTCTGAGCAGCCTGAATAGAGGGTTTTCAATGCGAATGTTACATTAGCTCTCGGCTGGAAAGCGGAACGATAGCATAACACTCCATCTGGGATTTGGAAAAGTGTTAAAATTAGCAATGTTCCATTACCTTTGTGCACAGCACACGCCTGCCACAGCCCGATGCTGGAGTGGGACAAGCAGCAGGAGCACGACTTGAAAGATTAAGACTTTGCCACCTTTGAAGGAAGGACTTTGAAAGAATCAGATAAATTAGAAAAATTTGGCTGAAAAGAAAATATGGACTAGAAAATATTTAAAACACACATGTGCGCACACAGGGTTGTACTTGCTTCTTGCTGAGGTTGGCTATGACATTCTGAGATACTGTAGATTAAACCTTGAGCAGTTGGCAGTAAGAATGACTGATAGGATGCACCGATGTCAAATGGATTGGACAGCAATTGAAAATTGTATTAAGTCTGCAGGAAATTATTCCACATAGACACTTTACCTTGCAAAGTTTTGTGATGTATCGGATTGAGATAGTAGTTAGAATACCAAATGGTATTCAGGTAACAGTTATTTCTACACTATTGTTCTACGATCTGTATTTACAGCAGCAGCAACAACAACTTGCATTTATATAGTGTGCTTCCTGCGGTTAGTGTCTCAGATCGCTTAACAGCGGCGTAAATTGATGACGAAAATTTATTTAAAGGGTAAACCTTAAACGTACTTCTCTGAACTTCTCCAATGCTAAATATTACAAGGGAGATGGCTGACAATACTTGCATTTGATACAGCGCCTTATCCTGTTACATGTTTCCAGAACTCGACATAATGAGTTACTTAAAAAGTGTAGCGACATTTGCTATGCAGTCAAAGATGCAGCTGCTTATTTGTGCCAGCAATGTTGCACAAAGAGCAATAAGTAAAAATTCATCTAATCAGTTTGCACTGGATTCAAACTTAGGAAGAACTACTTCACACAGAGGCTAGTGAGATTGTGGAACTCGCTACCTGTGATGGTTCAATCACATAGTACATATACATCCAAGAGAAAGCCAGACTTTCACATTAGGGAGACAGGAATAGAAGGGTATGGGAGGGAGTACGGGAATGGGTAGAGACTTGTGTGAGGATAAACACCTACACGGACTGCTTCCATGTTGTATATTCCTTGTAAACCTAGGCAACAAGAAATGTGCCACCGATTGTGTCAAATGTTTTCTAAATTAAGACTTAGGAACACAACAATTTCTTCTTTAATCTTAAAACAGGCTTTTCTCCGTAGAACTTAAAATTCTTCAGCCCTTGATTCAGTAAACATACAATATGTACTTTATAATAGAAATAGCATCAAAATGAATCTTATTAATGAAACAACAACAAGATTCCATTTATGGGTGCCACGTTGCCACAGTGGGTGCCACGTTTCTTGTTGCCGAGGTTTACAAAGAATGTAAAGCATGGAAGCAGGTCACTCGGCCATTCAATCCGTGTAGGTGTTTATACTCCACACGGGTGAAGTGAGGAATTCTCTCCAATAAAATAAAACACTTCTTCTGTCACAGAAATATTTCTCATTCCATAAAATAATCATTAAATGTGTTTGTCCCTCTCCACTTCATAGAATCATAGAAACGTAGAATCATAGAATTATACAGAACAGAAGGAGGCTATTCGGCCCATCGCGTCTGTGCCGGCTCTTGGAAAAGAGCTATCAAAATCAATCCCACTCTCCTGCTCTCTCCCTATAACCCTGCAAACTTCTCCTCCCCAAATAATGATCTACTTCTCTCTTAAAAGTTGTTGTCAAATCAGCTTCCATCACCCTTTCAGGCAATGATTTCCAGATCCAACAACTCACTGTGTGAAAGTTTCTCCTCACATCCCCTTTGTTTCCTTTAATTTCCATTTTTTTTGTGTAGTGCGCGAAAGGAGTGTTACAAACTATGGATCCCATGACTCCTCACAGAATGAGGTCCTGTTCTTATTCTGGCTACGGTTTTTGAGTGGAGCAGAAGGCATTAAGTAAATAAAAATTCAGAGAGTACATCATCCATCACTCTTCCCACACAGCTTTTAGTTGGCAGCTCAACAACAGTAAAAGCAAAGAGTGGAACAGGTTGGGTGCAATGGGAGAACCTTATGCTGTGTTTATACTGTGTTTTGTCGTGGGAGTCGAGAAATGTTGGAAGGGGATTGCACTGAACCCCACTGTTGAGGGCCCTTTCAGAACTCTTTGACTTGCCAAATGTGGGTGCAACTTACTGTGGTTCTGGTCTCAAAAAGTCCATTATTTTTAGGGGGTAGGAAAAGGGTCATGGACCAGCCAAGAAATTAAAAGATTTGTTTAATGTTAATCAGATAAAGATTAAATATCTAAACTCTGATTTAGGA